CCTTGGTAAAATCTGCTTTGTGCTAGCCATGCCTGTGCAGTTGATCCTCAAGATTTCTAGAAGGCAGGTTCACAATGTTTGGTAGACCGTTCCTTAGAAGTTGCATGAAATGTTGTCAACGTTACTGTGGGATGCCCATGCAGTTGATCCCCAAGATTTCTAGAAGGCAGGTTCACAATATTTGGTAGACCGTTTTTTAGAAGTTGCATGAAATGTTGTCAACGTTACTGTGGGATGCCCGTGCAGTTGATCCCCAAGATTTCTAGAAGGCAGGTTCACGATATTTGGTAGACCGTTCCTTAGAAGTTGCATGAAATGTTGTCATGTTACTGTGGGATGCCCGTGCAGTTGATCTCCAAGATTTCTAGAAGGCAGGTTCACGATATTTGGTAGACAGTTCCTTAGAAGTTGCATGAAATGTTGTCAGCATTACTGTGGGATGCCCGTGCAGTTGATTCCAAGATTTCTAGAAGGCAGGTTCACGATATTTGGTAGACAGTTCCATAGACGTTGAATGAAATGTTGTCAATGTTGCTGAGGGATGAGGCCATGGGCGCACTTCTCCTTTAAGCAATAAATGTTATTTTTGTGGTTTTCATAATTTTTTTGGTGTTTTTCATTATTTGTTCTCTATTTATGAAGTATGTAGTTTGCAATAATTGAGCAGGTTTGCCAATCGCAATTTGCATTTACCAATTGTAATCTCTTTTGACGTACTTCACAAATCCTAAGCATGTTTTATTTCTTTTGGGATATTCCTAAAAATGCTGTAGTACAGAAAATGTAGTTATGCCACAGTATTTTCCATAATATTTCATTATTCCTGCGCTTGTTATCTGGGAATAAGACTTTACAATATGCCCATTGTCAATGTTTGACAGTTACATACATCAGGAACCTGTTGACATGTCAGTGAGTCACCTTGAAGAGTGGGTGGCAGTTTACAGCTATTTAACATGCTCTGAATCACTGTTTCTCTTTTAGAAGTAAAAATGGAAGAGTAATCAGCTATGCATATTACAGTGTTGCTGCATGACTTGGGATTTTACTTCAGAAAGTAGCTTGAATATGTTCTAATTGTGTATGTTTTTCCAAATATCAAAAAATCAAATGCTTTCAAATCAAGTATATGGAGAGAAAAACTGTAATAGATTCAGAAAAATTTACCTGGTTACCATAATCATTGTTCTATGTAATTAAATAAGCACCCGTTTCTCTGTACAGGATCAGCAGAGGGGGAAGTAAGACTGTGCTTTGCAAAGCTGGCCATACACTGGACAAATTTTGCTTTGTGTGGCTCTGTCAGCCTAAGGGCACGTTCACACTTGACTTTATTTCTAACGCTTGCCAAACACCCCTATAGCATTTGACAGGCATTTGGGAAGCATTTTTTACCGCTCCCCAAACGCCCTATGCGCCGTTTAGAGGCGGTTGATAGGCGTTTGAAACCGCACCACAAATGCCTATAATAAAGTTAAATGGTATTAACACTCCGCAACCGCACAGCAAATGCCTGCCAGGCGTTTGAGGAGCGACACCATAGACTTGAATGAGAGGCTTCAACTCCTCCTGACTCGACACGAGGGTTGAGCAGAACTTAGAGTTTTCATTTCTGAAAAATATGGAGATTTCTGCAAAATTTTGGCATTAAAGTGTTACTAAACCCACAAGTAAACCAATCTGTATATGCAGTGAAGCACGCTAGTTATACTCACTGTGGAGTATAGATTAATCCTCCTCCTTATGTAAAAAGGCTGATTGATCCTGTATTCTCTGACCCTCCCCTTCTTCTACTGTCCCCAATCCATCTGCTCATAGTACAGAGCCCTAGGAGACAATCTGCACATGCTTGGTTTGGTGTGTATGGCTAGACAGGTTTTTTTTTTCTCTGGGAGGGTGCATGTGATCAGCACAGGGCCAATCAACACTGTCCAGGTCAGGGGTCAAGCAGCAGTCAGTCAGAGGAGAATGAAAACTCTTCCCACAATTTTAACCCGGCCGGACAGTGATAGAAGTCACAAGACTGCTATATACTGCTAATTAGGAAAGGTATTTAGCAGTTTATATTTACTAAAATAATTGCATTTCCTTGTTCTATGTACTGTGGGAATGCAGTGAATGCAGGGTCATGGGTTTAGTAACACTTTAAGGAAGGTAAAGTTGAAATGTTTTAGTTTTTGTGAATTTAAAGAGTGTAGGGAGCTCCCGAGGGATACAGAAGCTCCTTTCAACTGCCTTGGACCTGTTCCTTTGTCAAAAAAAGGCCCCATATTATTATATTCCTATAATAATTCCCTCTGGATCAACTGTGGGTATAGGATTGTAGAATTTTTTTTTTTTCCTTTTTATTGGTTGAACTAGATGGACTTGTGTCTTTTTTCAACCAGTCTATGTAACAAAAAGTAAAATAAAAAAAAATAAAGTGACTTATTGTAGGCTTACCTGTAGATACAAGTCATAAAGCAGAGTTGACTACCACTTCAACTTTCCCTGGAGTTTAGCTTTAAGGACTCCTTTTAGGGGGTTTGTTATTGCTCAGGGATGGGTCAAGTATTTATTGTGGGATATGGGAAGTGAATGTAAATTGTGGTGGTTCTTTTTAGTGTGGGGTGAACATTTCTATTCTCCAAACTTGTAAAAAATGATGTTACCGTTATAACCTGCTGTATCCTTGCTGTAGGCACATTTTCTTAAAACTTGCAGACTAAACCAAATTATTACTGATCTGCACATCATAATCCATCATCTCCATGTAATTCCAGTCTTTCTGACCTATTTGCCAGCAATTTTTGTAAACAATGGGAAACTAAAAGATATTTTTAAAGGCTAAGTGCACTTTTTTAATAATTAATAAATGCACATATATTTGCAGGGAAAAAAATGTGCATTTGTTATTCCTTTGCATAGAAGTTATCCGTGGATCACAGGTGCAATGCCAGGCTCCAGCAGACACTTTCTCCAGCTCTCTGTCCATACCTCATATACAAGCTTTTAGTTGGAGAGCTGGAGGAAGTGCCAATGCATTACGAATGTAATGATCACCGTATTTGAATTCCATTGAGAACTGTAAGTCTGTCTGCCGCAGTGGCAGAATGGATTTGCAGTTCTATCATTTACAGCTATCTGTGAATGAATGACATGACTGCAAGCAATGCCCCACACATCTACGCAAAATTCAAGAGAGACAGCTGCTGCATGGGAGAACCACCCCTACACACTGGGCAGGGAGGGCATTCTGGTGGTCTACCGGGAACCATGTTACACCCTAAATATAGTGTAACATGGTGTAAAGGTTATGGTGCCATACACTAGACGAAATTTTTTTTAAAAACTCTTCAGTTGCACAGTTCGTTTTTCATCCAGTTACTGAGCACAAATTGAAAATCGGTAGTGACTTTTTTTTTTTTGTTTCTAAACTTTTATTATAAGTGTTACATAAAGCATATATAAAAGGCAAAGAACAATATGTTCAGTCAAAAAGATTGCATAGAAACATGGAAAAAAAGTCAGCATTCCACGGTTTTTGTATCACAAGAATGCACCAAATATGAAAATTGACAAACAGGTAAAGAAAAGTAAAAAAATGAAGCAATCATACAAAAACCACTCCCAAAAAGAGAAATACACAGAAGGCACTCGTAGCCTCCCTAGCGGTCTGATTATGTCAGTATTTCTGTGCTCAAAGCGGTACATTTTTTTGCATGGAAATATGTATTTTTTATATTGTAGGTCTGTAAATTTTAGGAATAACTCGCTGAAATCTGTCCGAACAAGGGTCTGGTAAACATCCCGGGTATGTTAGAATTTGAAACACGAAATGAATTATAATTTAATAAATAATCATAAAAAATAATAATATAATAATAATAAATTTAATTCAATAATATAATCAAACCAAAAACACTGAAATTTGAAATAGAGCGCCAAGTTCGCACATCACTGAGCAAAAGTTGCAAAATCGTTTTCAGTGTTTCCCCACGAATCATTATCACTCAATTCTGCAAGTGGTTCTAATTTGCTATCGCTGTTCTCTAGCCGGTTTAAAACCGCTTTTGACCTAAAGGGACGCTTTTTGGACGCCATGGACATTTCTCAGTTTCCAGGCAGAAAGAACAGTAAAAATGTAGGCAAGGCACAGGACAAAGCACTAGGGACAAAATGTATGTTAAATGGTTTGATACAGGAATGTTTTACTATGTGATTTTAGTGTATTTAGTGAATGTCACGTTTTCACATTTTTCAATTTCCCGCCGTTCCGTCCCCCGTACGTCCTGACGTCGCAGGGAACAGAACCCAGAAGACAGATGCTGGCATCGGCCGGAGGACATTGCTGGGGACACTGCAGGGTGGACATCGCAGGAGCGAAGGACAAGGTAAGTGAAGAAGAGATCCCGGAGCAACGCTGCAAGGTATTCCCGAGTGTAGCTCGGGGTTACCGCTTGTGCTGAAACTTTACCCTGAGCTACACTCGGGAATACCTCCAGGGAGGTTAAATCATAGAAATAATACAGGAGGGAGAGGGCAGGAGCTCTAGAAGGGGAGAATCCAGGCTTCTCTGTGCAAAACCGCTGCACAGTGCAGGTAAGTATAACATGTTTGTCATTTAAAAAAATGCCTTTAATATCACTTTAAAAAATAAGGCTTGCTGGCTTGAAATGAATCCATGTGACGGCTAAGAGGCTGCTTGATCAACTACATAAAAATACTGGAACTTCACATGTTTATATACAAGTGAAGTAGAAAATCATAAACATTGCTCTCTATTAGTAGAAGCAATTCCTGCATCTGACACAAACTCCTTTTTATTGAAAAGCAACAGAATACATTTATTGAAGATTTACAGAAAAGCAATGCTTCAGTGATCTGCGTCCTCTTTCTCAGGGCTAACAATAAAACTATTATATGAACAGTAAAACCAGTTGGATGTTGGAATAGTTGACATTATTCTTTTATTTAGAAAGAGCAAACCTCAAAGTGGTTCTAGAGGGTATTATTTACACTGTCTGTGTGCAGAATCCCCCCCAGCCACCCCTAATACTCACCAAAGCCCCTTTCAATCCATCAATGTGCAGTGGAGTCTCAGCTATCCCGGGACTCCCTCTTCTCATTAGCTGAGATGGAAGTGGGAGCCATTGGCTCCCACTGCTGTCAATCACAGCCAGTGAGCCAATGAGAAGAGAGAGGGAGCTGGGCTGAATGGACACACGGAGCAGCGGGTGCCCCCATAGCAAGCTGCTTGCTGTGGGGGCACCCAACAGGCGGGAGTGGCCAGAAGAGCCTGCGGGGGAACCGAGAAGTGGAGGATCCGGACTGCTTTGTGCAAAACCACTACACATAGAAGGTAAGTATAGACCTGTTTGTTATTCTTTCTTTTAAAAAAATGCAACAAAAAACAAACAATAAGTCATCCAATTATCTGATCGTGTGTACTAAGTTTTAGATTTGATAGTAGTTCATAGATCTAAAGGAGATTGCACGATCACACCTTAAGCTGTCCATATCCTTTACAGTCTATATGGTGCATTATGACTCAACATATACCTTCCAGACCTACACATCTAATTGTACTTGTATAGTTTTCACCATATGGCATTTTAGAATCTAGTAATAGAGAATTCCACTGGCCTTTATGTGAAATGTTATGGAAAGAACAGTGGAAAAGGGTATTAATGTGATTCTTTTGTATGCGGTACAATCAATAAAAGATTTATGAGGCAGCTCAATAAATTGCCTATTGAATTGATGTAAGTACATTTATTTCTGTTCGTTTCTTGATTACGTTACACTCATTGATCATTTCAGATGGCCCTGCCGCATATCCTATTCCAGTGGAGAACATCAAGCCACTGCTTACAGTGGGATTTACTTCTGGGGATATTAGTTTGATGAACAATTATGATGACTTGTCACCAACCATCATCCGCTCAGGGCTTAAAGGTATAGGAGTTTTTTTCCATTTATGACTTTTGTATGTACTACTTCATAAATGTTTTTTTTTGTAGTGTTGATTACACCAATTAACAGAAATCTTACTAATTTTTATTTTGCATTTTGACTCTAAGGGGTTTTAAAGTTAGAGACACATTTGCCAGATACTATTTTCAAGGTACATTAAAATGAATTATAACAAAGGAGCACTTTTCTTTTAATCCCTTTTCTTGTGCCTATCCATGCCCTGTTGTTGAATGGAAAGCCCACTGTTTAGTGAAGCCCCCACCATTTCTGGGTGTGTTGGAGGCTTTTTCAGACTTTCTGCTCACTCTGCTCTGCTTCTTTTCCCAGCGGTGACACAAGCCCTCTCTGCTTCTGCCAGTGTAGCCTCACACTGTCTCATATGACAGCTCTGAGGCGGTTTAAGAGCATGCCAGCACACTGTAGGTGCACAGCAGCGGTGAATAAAGATCAGCACAGGAAGAGTTATGAAAAGCCACATACGATCATCCTCTTCAAAATCTGCCCTTGCCAAGGATTTCTCATTGCTGCTGTATGCCTAATCTGAGCTTCTCTCCTTAAAGTTATTGAATTTGAATTTTCAGTTGAGCACCCAGCCCTCTAAACCCTCAAGCTCTATGGCAAGATCCAAAATCCTGCAAATTAAACATTTGTTTACTGAGTGGCAAGCAAGGAACCACAAACTATTTTACATCCACCAAGATATGGGTACAGCAGGAGAGGCCAGAAATGAGATCAAAAGGCAACCATGTAAAATAAGTCCCATGATAGCTCCACTCAAAGAAGAACTATCACTTTATATATTATTTGAGGCTTCAGTCTCTTCAGCTTAATAACTTTTAATTGTGCCTGAATACTTTTTCTATAATATTAGACATTTATTTGGTACATTCTGTTAATAAAAACCATGCTCAATTTTGTATTGTTATTATAGGCTTCTTGTTATAAAAAAAAACATATTTTCTGGGAATTAGACACAAGTTACCTTTGCAGTGGGGCTCCCTGTCATGGGAGCCTTACCCACATGCTCCGCTGAATCGGTAAGTAGATGCCCCCTTCCCTCCCTGGACACGATGTGGGGCGCCGATGCTCCCTGGAGCGTTCAGTCTTGCGGGCTCCCTTCCTGCTCCTTAGACCTGGGTCCCCTGTGATAGTTTGCGGCTTCGTAGTCTTCTGGGACCTGTCATCTGTCCCAGAAGACTAAGGGGAGGGAAGGGGGGGGACAACTTTCATTTCCGATCGCTTTAGGCCAAAGGTGCCAATCCTTTATCGGTGAGCGGGGGACAAAGCCTTAAAGGGGAACGTCCCCTTTTGGGTAGAGCTCCACTTTAAAATGGTGCTTCGACATGAATGCTGGGCTGCTGACCAGACCCTGCTGGACCTACTCCCTCTAGAGAAATGTGTCATTGGTGCTGCCTTGGGCCACACCATCCGGAACCTCATGGGTGGTGAGAGTTCCTCCCATCCACAGGTGAACCAAGCACGGTTATAAGGTTTCCACCACTATTTACAGTCCTGACAACGCATGGGGTTTCCTGGTCCGGGACTGATTTGCTCATGCTTGTTCAGAGGGTCAGAATGGAATCCGTGTATTGGATGGTGGCCTCTCCTCTCAGGGGTTTTTTTCAGCGGTGTTCTACAAGGTGCTGGCTACAATTCTGGCATTGCTGAGACAATGGGGGATAGCTGTAACTGGTTACTTGGGCAACCTGCTTCTGCAGGTGGGCTCTTAGGTCACGCCGTCGGACAACTTGTGGAGCACGAAGCACTACCAGCAGGGCTTCGATGGCTCCAGATCCTCAAGCAGGCTGCCTGACCAGGAGACTGAAGTATCTGGACCTGGATCCAGACCTAGAGCAGGCCAACGTGTTTCTCCTGGTGGACAAGCTCCAACAGTTTCAGCCTGCGGTCCACGGACCTGTGTTCCCGCGCGTTCCTCCCATCAGTTTTGCCTATGGTATCTGCCTTCTAGGCGGTCCCGTGTGCACAGTTCCATACAGGTATTCTGTGGAGGGAATCCTTTCCACATAAATTGAATCTATAGGCTCCCTAAGCTTCCATGAGCCTTCCTCCTATGGTGGTTTCGATACCTTCTCCTGTCAGTCAGGAAGTACTTCCTCCTTTCCCTCTGGACGATTGTTGTTACAGATGCCCTGCCTGTCTGGCTGTGGAGGAGGCCTGGATTCGCAGTGGAATGCAGCCACTGGACTCTAGAGGAGGTTTTGCCTGCTCATTAGTGTTCTGGAGCTGTGGGTGTTCAGATTGCCTCGAGTGTACTGAACTACTCTTCTTTGAAGGGGGCTCCTGGTCAGGATCCAATTGGACAAGGCCACCACTGTGGCCCCTGTTCACCCACCAGGGCTACATGAGGAGTGTAGCAGGCTACCTGTCCCTTGCGGGCGATACAGTGTGTTCTGGCTCTATCTGCCGTGCACATTCCCAGTGTTGGGGCTTGATAGGCAGATTACCTCAGTCAGCCAGTTGCTGGATTAGGGGGAGTGGCCTCGGCTCCTGGTTAAGCATTTGCCAGCTCTGCCTATGATGGAGGGCCCCAGGAGGGATTCTTCTGGCCTCCTGCCGTATAAGAAAGGTTCCATTGTGTTGGCGAGAGTGTGGGTCCCCTAGCAGATACATAGTTACGCTGGAAGGATCATGGGACCAGTGTCATCTCTCTTCAACCTCTCCGGGATGATGACCACAAGGATTTCGGTCATTATGGTGGTTTCAGATTGGTCTTTGGTATGCCATCAGGCAGCTGATCCCGGACACTGCTGGGCGATTGCCTCATCGGGAGGCCCACCTGTCCCAGTGTCTGGTTTTCCACCCTGGGTTACCATCTCTGGCAGGAGGACATGGTGATTGTGAGCTAGCATTGCAGAACAGGAAGTCATCCAGTTTAGTGTTATCCAGCTCTCATGCCTACTTCTCGGAAGAAGTTGTCTTCACACCTGGAAGGTTTGGATTGCGGGTGCTAGACTCTGGATATTCTTCCATGGCCCCTCTCGGTGGCACGGGTGTCAGCCCTTCTTTCTGGCCATTGAACCAAACTTGCATTTAGCACCATTGCCATGGTCAAGTCCTTGTGTTTTTTTTTTTTTCTTCAGTGTCTCTTGGCCACGCTCTTCCAGCCTCACACTGCTTTTTTGGGGGGTTGATCAATTGGTGGCCTTTATGCGCTCCCTGCCACCCCCATGGGACTTGCATTGGTTCTTTTGGTTTTCCAGAAGCCTTCCTTTGGAGAGTATATGGAGATTCCCCTGTTTAGTCTTCTCAAAATGTTGCCTGCTTGGTTGCCATTGCTTCTGCGCGGTGGGTGATCTGGAGGTTTTGTAAGTTTGACATATGAGTGAGGTGGTTCTTGGTCTGGGTCCCTCCTTTTCTACCAACCAGTGGTGTCGGTTTTTTCCTTACCTGAGGACATTGTCCTTCTTCCTTTGTGCCCATGGCAGTTGCATCCCATGAGGTTGCATTTCATTCCTTCACTTTGTTGTGGGTGGTTCGTGTGTGGTCTACTGCGGCCTCCTGCCAATGGTTGCATTCCCTTTTCTGCTCACAAATGGCCCTAGGAAAGGCCTGATGGTCATTGAATCTGGCAGCTGATTGTTCAGGCGTGCGCTGTTAAGGGCGGGCTCCTCCCTTCCCTGTTGCATCGCATTCCACTAGGGTTATTACTGCCCCCGGTGCTTTCTGGAATCTGTGTCTTAGGTTGCATGGTGACTATCTGGTTGTCTAAGCCCTTTGTTTTTCCAAACTTATCTCCAGTTGATGTGTTTGCATCTTTGGATAGATTTATTCCCCTACGTCCATGTATTTACTTGCCTAGCTTGTCCATATTTGTAAAAGGGACAAGACAACTTCCTGTTACAGGTCACACAACTTCTAATGCCATGCATTTCCACCTGCTTTTTGTGCCACATCTCAAATCAAATATATATATATATATATATACACACAGTTGTGCTTAAAAGTTTGCATACCCTGGCAGAAATTGTGAAATTTTGGCATTGATATTGAAAATATGACTGATCATGCCAAAAAATGCTCTTTTATTGAAGGATGATGATCATATGAAGCCATTTATTATCAAATAATTGTTTGGCTCCTTTTTAAATCATAAAGATAACAGAAATCACCCAAATGGCCATGATCAAAAGTTTACATACCCTGGAATGTTTGGTACAGACACACAAGGTGACACACACGGGTTAAAATGCCAATTAGAGGTTAATGTCCCACATCTGTGGCTTTTTAAATTGCAATTAGTGTCAGTGTATAAATAGTCAATGAGTTTCTCTTTGTATCCAGAACAATTCTTCTGTCAGTTATAGCTGCAATCTTTCTTGGTCTACCTGACCTTAGCTTGGTATCAAGAGATCCCCAAACTTTCCACTTCTTAATAGGTGATTTAACAGTACTGATTGGCATATTCAAGGCTTTGGACATCTTGTTATGTCCTTTTCCATCTTTATAAAGTTCCATTACCTTGTTACGCAGGACGTTTGACTGTTCTTTTTTGATCCCCATGGCTCAGTATCTAGCCTAGTCAGTGCTTCCATGTAAGAGCTAACAAACTCATTGACTATTTATACACTGACACTAACTGCAATTTAAAAAGCCACAGATGTGGGACATTAACCTCTAATTGGCATTTTAACCCGTGTGTGTCACCTTGTGTGTCTGTACCAAAGCCAAACATTCCAGGGTATGTAAACTTTTGATCATGGCCATTTGGGTGATTTCTGTTATCATTATGATTTAAAAAGGAGCCAAACAAGTATTTGATAATAAATGGCTTCATATGATCATCATCCTTCAATAAAAGAGCATTTTTTGGCATGATCAGTCATATTTTCAATATCAATGCCAAAATTTCACAATTCCTGCCAGAGTTTGTAAACGTTTGAGCACAACTGTGTGTGTGTGTGTGTGTGTGTGTGTATATATATATATATATATATATATATATATCCTCCAGCTGAATAATTTGCTCTCTGTTTTGTCTGTGAATGCTCTGCCTGCTTGTGGCTGTCAGATCTATTAAAAGAGAAGTATGGGAAAAATTTTATTTTTTTTTTTAAAATCATACTTCCTCGGTGGATACAGTATCTGTTCCATGCCAGCTCTATGGGTGAGAACTTAGCGATCACATGACTGCTAATTGTGGAGTTTTCACCGCTGCTGTAAACAGAGAGCGGTGACTGTCAGTCACCGCTCTCTGCTCTGACCCCACTCTCGTGCTCACTGGAGCACTGGGTTGTGAAGGGGGTGGGATCGACTGGCTCAGGCTTCCCATTGGCTTGCTGAGAGGCTGAACCAGGAGCCGGTCCAGGCTCTGGGGTGGATCCCAACCATATGGTCACAATCCTTCCCCAGTCTGGACCGGCTCTGTGATGTCAGCTGACAGCGGGCTTCAGCCCCCTGTAATGTGATCCATAGGAGAAGTTCAGCCAAAATGGCTTTGGCTGTACTTCTCCTTTTGATGTGTAGCTAGTTCTCACCTGCAGCCACACTAGTCTGAGAGACTCAGGGATTGTGGGATATGTAGTTTTCTTTACAGGAAAATGCAGTTCTCAGACTACAGATAGAGGTCATGTTTTAACCTGTGCAGTGTCATGCTGCATGCCTCATGTTTGAACACAGGACAATTGAATGTAAAAATGTGTTCTACTATAGGCTGTGTGTACAGCGCAACAAATGAAACCATGAAACTTCGTAAACAATGCACCTCTTATGCAAGTGAAAACACATGGTGCAGGTAGGAAGGTTTTTAAAGCCTTTGGGGCAAGTAATACTTCCTATTTATTTCACTGTTAGACTTAACAAGCATTTACCCTTGCAATGCCCTGCTGCAAGGTTACATTTTTCCTAATTCCTGGAGATCAGCTTTAAAGGGTAGTTACACTTCAAATCTGTTTTCAGTATGTTTGGTATCATACTTCACTGTACACAGTTTTCTTCTGAATCTGTTGCAACGTTTCATACTTGGAGATCTTTCCAGCAAAGTCACTTCTGTTGCAGGCCAACAAAGCTAAGCCACTACCTCGCAATTAGCAGCAGTGTTGTCAGCCTTCCTGGCAGAACAAACAGTACAAATTCATGTTGTGAGGAGAAATAGGAGACTGATGTCATTACTTGTATAAAGAGACCTTTCTTATCAACATAAAAGGAAGACTACCGTAAAATATTTGCTGGTTTCACCAGTACCCTATTAAAGAATTTAAACAAGCTGTACATTATTTGATAAATAATTAACTGCCAATGGTTGCTGATAAATTAAGACTTTTGTTTGGTTTCAGATGTAGTAGTTCAGTGGTGCACGCAAGGAGATTTGCTTGCTGTTGCGGGGATGGAGAAACAGAACCTTTTGCCAGATCTTGGAAATGGTCCCTCTTTGAAGAGTGCCCTTATAAAGTTTTATAATGTGCGTGGAGAACATATCTATACTCTGGAGACTCCAGTACAGGTATAAAAACATTGTAAAGAATTAAAATTCTTAAGTCCGTTTATAAATGCAAATTAACACAAATAGGTGGTTGTATGTTATGTTTACCTTGTTAGCAAAAGGCATTCTTCCAAGAATGCAATGTTGTGAAAACTGTGCTAAAGCTTCAAGATTCATTTTCTAAGCACAAACATGACGTGTATGCGTGTATATATATGTATGTATGTGTATATATATGTACACACACACATTATATTGCCAAAAGTATTGGGACACTCCTCCAAATCATTGGATTCAGCTGTTCCAATCATTTCCATGGTCACAGGTATATAGGTCAAGCACCTAGGCATGCAGACTGCTTCTACAAACATTTGTGAAAGAATGGGTCGCTCTCAGGAGCTCAGTGAATTAAAGCGTGGTACCGTGATAGGTTGCCACCTGTGCAATAACTCCATCTGTGAAATTTCCTTGCTACTAAAAATTCCTTGGTCAACTGTTAGTGGTATTATAAGAAAGTGGAAGAAACTGGGAACAGCAACTCAGCCATGAAGTCGTAGGCCACACTGAAGTGCACAGAAGTGTCCAACTGTCTGCTGAGTCAATAGCTAAAGACCTCCAAGCTTCGTGTCGCCTTCAGATTAGCACAACAACAGTGCGTAGAGTTGGTTTTCATGGCTGAGCAGCTGCATCCAAGCCTAACATCACCAAGTGCAATGCAAAGTGTCAGATGCAGTGATGTAAAGCACGCCACCACTGGACTCTAGAGCAGTGGAAACGTGCTCTCTGGAGTGATGAATCACACTTCTCCGTCTTGCAATCTGATGGATGTGTCTGGGCTTGGCGGTTGCCAAGAGAACGGTACTTGACTGACTGCATTGTGCCAAGTGTAAGGTTTGGTGGAGGGGGGATTATGGTGTGGGGTTGTTTTTCAGTTCGGCTTGGCCCCTTAGTTCCAGTGAAGGGAACTCTTAAGGCGTTAGCATACCAAGACATTTTGGACAATTTCATGCTCTCAATTTTGTGGGAAGAGTTTGGGGATGGCTCCTTCCTGTTCCAGCATGACTGCGCACCAGTGCACAAAGCAAGGTTCATAAAGACATGGATTAGCAAGTTTGGGGTGGAGGAACTTGACTGGCCTGCACAGAGTCCTGACCTCAACCTGATAGAACATCTTTGGGATGAATTAGAGTGGAGACTGCGAGCCAAACCTTCACGTCTGACATCAGTGCCTGACCTCACAAATGCGCTTCTGGAAGAATGGCCAAACATTTCCATAGACACACTCCTAAACCTTGTGGCAGCCTTCCCAGAAGAGTTGGAGCTGTTATAGCTGCAAACAGTGGGCCAACTCAATATTGAACCCTATTGACTAAGACTGGGATGCCATTAAAGTTCATGTGTGTGTAAAGGCAGGAGTCCCAGTACGTTTGGCAGTATAGTGTATATTCCTTCAAATTAGGTGTAGCCTGCTGCTGAGGTACTCTGAGAAACCTAAGTCCTAGTATACACGATGAGAAGATTGGACGAACAAAATTGCTTTAGGAGTAATCGTCCAATAATCTGATTGTTAGTACACTGCTTTCGAGAGACGATCACGACAGTTCATGCAAGCTTATTTGAAGGGACAAGCATGAAAAGTTTTCTCATAAGATAACAGACTGAACGATTTTGTTTAATCAGTACAGTATTTGTCCGTAAGATCGCACATGCTTGGAAACAAAATAATATATTATAATACAATACATTCCATCATTGTGGGATGTTGTATTCTGTCTTACTAGAAATTTCATAACTCAATTCTCCTGATATTCTCACCGTGTCTACCAGGCTTTAGACAGATATGCACTAAGAGTCTTTGTTTAGATTGTTTAATACTAACTTAAAGAAGCCTCTAGTAGAAACCTAGAGCTTGCTAGAAATGCTGTTTTTCAATCACCTGGTAATGCCTTGTTGTGGCCTGCAAACAACTTGAATCCATGACTAAACAAAGCATATTCTGGCCTGGAGTTTTGATCCTGCAAACTCTTATTTACAGCTACAGTAACCAGAGGATAAAGGCTTTTTCATAAATCAATAAGACAGATGTCTTCTAACACAGTTTACATTAGTTTGGAAGACATGAAACCATATTAGTATGTATGTGTGGCCATCTTATCAGGGGTTACAGCCATACCGAATGTTCAATTGTATGCATGCACAGTTGCGGTATTTAAAGGCGGCCATAGATGGAACGATTTTCTTTCTTGCAACCACTGGTTTTTCCCTACCAGCAAATTGATGATGAAGGAACCCCTCCCACAGAGTCATTATGTTCTCCTGGCAGGGGGAGCCATCCCCAATGATAGAACAAAGTGATTACTGCTAGTGGCTATAATAGCTGCTAGTAAGTATAAGCACAGAAAATCCAACAAGCTGGTTGTACCCACGTTGAGCGATCAATCAACTTGGGTACATTTAGCCTTGCCCATACATGGTTTAAATCTCGGCCAGTCCCTGCTGAACTGGCTGAGATTTGAACCATCTATGGCAGGCAGGCTTAAGACATGTATTCAAGACCAGACTAACATAAAAGTGCAAAATCAGTTTTATTGAGAGAGGCAGTGAAAAACAAAACAATCCCCTTGAGAAAAAACTGTATACATTGTATGGATTATTAGAAAACCTAACTGCAGACTTTTACTATCTCCTAGTTTGAGGAATTTGAAGTATACCTTAATATGTACTTCCTCAAACCAACTGCTAATAGGAGTGTCAACCTTCATTTTACCTACCTGATCAGTCTGTATTGTACTTAAGGAACAACCCCATTTAGCCATAGGACTTTGAAAGTATCTCACCAAAAGTGAAACTCACATAAAAGGATAAGGAATATGACTTGGCCAATGGCCAAAATCTGGTTAGGTTACGTTGCAGAACACAAATCTTAGTATAGGGTCTGACCAATTAGTGGTCTTTGCAAACATTTAAAACCTTTAATAAAATTAACCAAAAAATGTATTTCCTGTTAAAAAAAAAAAAAAAATCATGCAACAAGGTATAAAGAAAAATACAGAGATGTGAATGTAGTGCAAACCTTGGCCATAGGTGTGAAGATATCTTCCCATAAACAGATCCTGAGATATCTGCCCTTCCCTGGGTAACACAAACATCAAGGCAATGATGTAAAAGTGGTATTTTCATGTTTTACTCTGTAGCAGGGGGAAGAATTGGGCCCTTTGGAAGGGTTTTTTTTAATTGGAACGTTTCTATCGGCCATACAAATTTCTTTTTCCCCCAAGGACTAGGACACCCAAAACGTGTACAATGCTCTCTTTTATCTGGTCATATAGTGGTTGCTTATATAGTAATGCAGAATTTGCTGTCTGGGAATTACCTAATGTGTAACTTTTTATTCTGCAGCGTCCTATCACTTCCATTTGCTGGGGCCATAGAGATTCCCGCCTTTTCCTGGCCTCTGGTCCGGCGCTGTATGTTGTACGTGTAGAGCATAGGGTTGCTAGTTTACAGCTTCTCTGTCAGCAAGCAATTGCCAGCTCCTTACGCGATGACAAAGATATCAGCAAACTAAGTCTGCCTCCTCGGCTCTGCTCTTACCTCACCACCGCCTTTATACCTACCATTAAGGTAACCAGTAACAGGTTTTTTTTTTATTCATTTATTCATTAGTAGATAAAAAAAATGTGGCAAGTAAAGTAATCCATACACTTTAATTTAGGGCCTGTGTCAGTGACTTTTATTCTTGTGTCAGTGAGATCACTTTAACATCAGCTTAAGGTGCTTCTGAAGTCACTCAGAATTCACTGACTGGTGCATTTGGGTTTGCATTCTTGCAGACTAGTATGAAAATTCAGAACCCATTCGAAGAGAGCAAAAGCCCATTGAAACAGGCCCTGAATCAGATGTGATCTATTGGAAACCAAGATATTTTTTCTTGTAATGTACTTGTGAGGTTAACACATCAACATTTTCTGCATCACTTTGATATCTGTGAATGATTAAAATATTAGTCTTATATGAATACCAAAAGCCTATCTATTATTCAACGAGGGACATAGGAATATTTAAACAGCCAGGTTATACTGCTGCCTACAGGGGTTTGGGACACTGGCAAAAAATGTTGAAGACAGCCCCCTTATAACCTTGCCTCCAACTGTCATGCCTCATTTTTTTTTCTTAGTGTCATAGAAGGTTGGACATCTTTTCTGCTGTTTAGCTATACTTTGATAGCCTTTTTATTTTTTTTTCTTTGACTTTCTCTGTTATCTTCAATCAAGATGCTCATTCCACTATAAATGCTTTTTTCTTTGGTAACTTCATTAAAAATTTCAGAATTTCTATTTTGCAGTGTCTACATAGCAGATATTCAGATCAGTGTATCCTCAGCAACAGCTATAGCGGCTGTTCCCCAACTCTGCTGGACTGGAAAGGTAGCCTTGTGAGTCTAGCCTGGAGGGTGACCTTCAGGCACTGAGCTGTGCATGTGGCGCTTTCCAGATTTTGCTGTATTGTGTTAGCCACACAGCACTTTCATGGTCCAGAGTCTTGGTGCAGCCTGTGGTGTGACCCAGTCTCTGAAGACTCACTTTGTGAGTACGAGCCAGTCAGGCATCAGAAGCTACCTCACTGTTGTGCAGTTTCCCACCACAGCTAGTTTCACTGCAGTAAGAGTTTATACTGAGGGAACTCTTGCTCGTGCTCAGTACTCTCTTGTTCTAGGGGAGGTTTCTTGTTATCCCCAAAAGGAACCGACACCTGTATCTTAGATCCTAGGACCATTTAAATAAATAAAACTGTAATCATCACATCACTTCTCATCCATCTAATTAAATGATGGGGTGCAGTTCTCAAAATACTATAGTCACCAAACAAAAGAGACAGAAAATGGATAAACTCCACTATGATTAGAAAAAATATAAAAATCAAATCCTTAAAGTAGTTGCAAACTCTTATATTTACCGAGTGAAGTGACTGGCCTAAGGTGATACATAGAGATGAAACAAACCCTCCTGCATTAGTTGTACCTGTTTATCTGCAGTTTTCTCTTCTCTACATCCATTCAAAGTCCAGAGAGCTGAAATTACAAACTGCAGAGCTCAGTGAGGAGAGCTCTGAGAGCTGATTGGAGGAAGCAGACACACCTCCCTCCACGCAACTCACAGGAACAGAGCTGAGACTGTCAATATGCTGGAGGTCCCTCCCAGCCACCATATTTCTCTTGGTGTCAGAAAAACTTGGCAGAAGTGACTCATGCTGATAGCAAAGGAAAGAAGCAGCAGACAGAAATGAAACTTCGTTCTCTTAATTAAGACAAGTACACACTATACAGGGATATGCTTTGGTCATATTTCATATCTGAGGTTTACAACCACTTAATTATATATAATTTTATTAGAAAAATACTTAGAACCTGGGACACCATTATTATAGGGTAGTCCTCATCATAGTTTTTAAGCTCTGTCTGGTTAGACAACTTTTTTGTCGGTCTGTTACTATGTACTGGAGCAATCTGCTCTAAGCACCCTCTTGTGCCATCTTCACCAGTGTTGAGCTCCAAACCTTTCTGGGACTCCATCTCAGATTGTGTCTGAGAATGCTATTATGATCACTGTTTCTGAGCCCTCACAGTCTACTCCTAGAGAGGCAGTTTTTGAGCAAACTGCATTTGGCCCAGATTTGAAAGAGGTGGTTTCTAACCTGATTGGTGCTGTGCGTACTATGTCACGTTTAGAAAATCAGACCATTTTTCTAGACCTAAGGTCTATTACTGTACAAGAACTGGTAACAACCTGGGCCCCTTCTAAGAATGTATTGCTAAGTGGTCTCTGCACACTGTAAATGTTCCATTGATCCATCTTAACAAAAATACAACCAAACGGGTTGATAATGTTCTCGACTTTAAAGTGGATCTAAAGGCACCCTTCAGTCTTTTTTTTTTTTGTTCCAGCCTAACCCCTTGTCTGCCAACGTACATTTAATAACAGTCTTGTATTCAAGAGATTAATGCAAACACGCAGTTGCTGCTGCAGATGTGGGCTTGGTGTTGACTCCTAGAGGTGACATAGGGCTTTCAGGTAAAAGTGATCCAAGTGACTCAGGAGCCACCTGAGCCACTAAGCGTTTAAAAGTGTATTTACACTTTTTCAGTCTAATTTGATAAATCCCAACTCTATTGCATGTTCCCAGTCACACAGCATACCTAAAAAAAAATAATGAAAAACATGTTTTTATGTTTCTGGGTTTTTTGGTGGGGGGCAGGTTTATATATAGTATACTATAGCCCACTTTTATTCCCTAGAATGGATAACAATGTGCTGATAAGGGACAGGTTGTTTTTTATTTGTTTGTTTTGTTTTTGTTTTTTTTCTATTAACATACAATGTACCACCCAAGCCTTGAGGTCTTTAACCTTTTGTTAGGACAGCCAGTCCTGCACTTCTGGAAACTAGGATAATTATAGCAAACCTGATTCCCCAGCTTCCCCCTCACATTACTTAGAAGGGAAAAGCTTCAGTTTTGGGGTTTTCAGAAAAGAGCAAGTAGAAAGGTTTGCTGCAAAGTTTAAATACTTTGTTATGTAAATAATAACATGTAACCAATATAAAGTAGATGTTTTACCATGTTAGCTGCAGGTGAAAATGTACTTTAAGGTTTTTCCCTTAAAGTGGCTGTAAATGCTCATTTTTATTTGTATTACAATAACAAACATGTTATACTTAGGCTACTGATACAATCTGTACAGCCAGTGACTGACCATTTGAATTAAAGTAACAATAAGTTTTCTGTTTTTTTTTTTTTCTTTTTCTATTTTCAATGGTCTTTATTAAATTTTTTAAACAGTATAAACAGAGGCAATAAAACACGCCCACGCAGGGGCTATCAATTGCACAGATAAACAAAATGCAAAATAAAAAAAAAAGGAAAAACAATGCTCTAATGCCAACAGGGCAAAAGGTACGCCCACGCAGGGGCTATCAGTGGCACATAAGGTACAAAACAGTAATGTAACTGATTATAACAATTAAATGCAGCTGTCCAGTCACACCAAAAACAGAGAGAGAGAGAAAAAAGAAAAGAGAGAAAAAAAAAAAGAAGAAAAAAAAAAAAAAAAAGGGGGTGGGGGGGGGGGGGTAAAGAGCAGGGATTCAAGAGCGCCAATACCGAACGCCATTACATCCCCAGACTAGCGGGGGGAGTGAGGGAAGGGCATATTGCAACCACGGCTCCCATATTTTCAAAAATTTACGTTGGGAGTCGTTGCGGATACTCGACATCTGTTCGTTGAGCATCATAGTGGTCATACGATCCCGCACCCCCTGAAGAGGGACAAACGGACTCTTCCAGGCCTGAGCAATTGTTCTAGTGGCGGATAAAAACAGATAGGAAGCCAATTTCTGCTGGTGAGCTAAGAGGCCCGGTATGGGGCAATGAAGCAAGGCATACCGAGCATCCCGGCGTATGGAGAGATGGAACAAGGTGAAAAGGAGGCCAAATACACGAGACCAAAAACGAAACAGTCTCGGGCATGACCACCAGATATGTAATACATCACCACGATGACCACAACCCCCGAAAACATTGATCACTACTAGGCAGGGTTAGCCCGGGCCAGCCGAGCCGGAACCCAGTACCAACGAAACACTGTGTTTTTTTTTTTTTAATTAAAATAACAAACATTGCACAGAGCAGCCCTGATCCTCCTCTTCTTGGTCTCCACCGGCGCGCCTGGCTCCTTCCCCCCACCAAGTGCTCAGGAGCGAGCCTGCATGAGTGCCTCCATAGCAAGCAGCTTGCTATACGTGGACTTGTGCAGGCTCACTCCCGAGTCCAGCTCTGTGTGTCCATTGACACACAGGTCACAGCTCGGCCCTGCACCCACTCCTTCCTTACTGGCTGTGATTGACAGCAGCAGGAGCCAATGGCCAATAAGGAGGGAATAGAGCCAAGAGAGCCTCTGCACAGAGCTGGATTGAGATCAGGCTCAGGCAAGTATGAGGGGGTGCTAGGGGAACTGCATGCAGAATGTTTCTTTACCTTGAGAGAATATGCAGAGAATAAATGATGGTAAAACCAACCAACCAAGAAATAAAAAATAAAAAACTTTAGCGTGTCTTGGGTTCTAAGTCTAATTTGAACCCATACAGTGATTATGTGATCAATAATAAGGTGGCCCTTTGTAGAAAAAGCTTCACAAAAACCAACTCACCAAATAGGGTGGGGTTCCATAAGACTATGCACAGTACCAACCAAAAATGCATACAGGTAGCGCCAAAGAGACACTAACCTATAGACAACAGCCTCACAAGGAAACCAACTGCAGCATATTGTGAAAAAAATTTAAAAAACAACCTTTATTAAATACAGATCACATATAAAAATGAATCACCATCACAAGGCATATAACTGAGTTTTCCTAAACCACTTTTAGGGCTCGTGTATACTGCAGCTGCAAAAAACTCACGTTTAGGAGCTGTTCAGCATTTTTTCAGCAGCCCCTGAACTCACCGTAATGTTTTCCTATGTGTCCATGTACACATCATCGTTTACAGTCATTTACAGGCAGTTGAGTTTACAGTCTTTTTTGAATGCATAAAACTTGGGTTCAGCAGTAGATTTTATCAGCATTTCAAACGCAAAACACTTGTAAACACGGCTAACCGTGTTATAGGAGTTTGCACATTTTTTTTAACTCTTCCATTTCCAAATGCTGTCCAGTGCCTTTTTTCATCATGAAAAATGCATGCATGTTTTCCCGGTACTCAAACGGACCTGGCACACCATAATTTGAGGTTTTGCATGAAAGAAAAAATGTTAGACACTGCTGCAATAATTTCTGCACAGAAATGAGCTGGAACACATCCAAACACCACACAAAAAAAAAAGACCGCTAATCTCAACAAATACTGCTCTCTCTGCTTCTGCTCTCTCTATTTCTCTCAAAATGTCTGAAATAGTTAATCTTTTACTGCTTTTCAGTCCTTTCTGGGCATTTTGGAAGGTCTCCTGAGGTTATCTTAAAAAAAAAAACGCTTCTAAATGCAAATGCTCATAAACTCACATAAATGCAGTATGCAAACACGGCTAAACAGACGTTTTTTTTTTAATCTACGTTTTCCAGCAGTTAGTTTCTATCGTTCAGAAGTGTCCCGTGTACATGGGGCCTTAAAATAGGGGCTGACAATGTTGTTACCTCAATATTACCCTATTTGAGCCCGGGCTGTCACACGCTACAGTCATACCCACATGCATATCACTCAATTCTGAGTATTTGAATGAGCACAACTAGCTTTCAATACCACAAGATTGTACACTAAAGTGCAAGCCGATTTATATAATTGCCATCTCATGAGATTTCAGGTACTTAGAACTTGATATTCCCTGTGGTATACTGAAAGCAAGTAAAGGCAAACACCTAGATGCATCAAGAGAAGATACTAAACGGCAGTGCTTCCTGTACTAGTGATGCAGATGGCAACAGAGATACTAATTACATGGGTAACTATCCTAATAAAATGTCCAAAAGGAAACCGGATCCAAAAAGATTCATTGCCTTATAATTAATGTAAGTACTCATTCAAAGGCAGGTCATTACTGCACCACTATGGATAGTGCCCAGCTGGGTCAATCAGCATAGCACCATGTATAGGCTGTTGTATTGAAACAATGGCCAGAGACAAATGAGGAGCAGTTTAGACGGTAGATGACACTGAGTAGACTGGTGGCATGCATCTGAGTGGGGAGAACAAATCCATAGAGAATACACGAAGGTAAAAAACCTTCTGCCTTTTGAACCACTTTAAGGATTCTTATTTTTTCTTTGGGTCTTGGTCCGGTAAACCTTTCTTGTTGACCACGTTATTTGTTGGTCTGGTTTTTCTCCCATTTAGGTAAAGTTTTTTTTTTCCACCTGTTTTTTTAGTGAATGATTGGTTAATCCTCTACTTTACTGGTTGAGGTCAATCGTTCTTCACATACTAGTTTGTCCTTAGCAGTGATTATCTGTTCTGGTCTGGAGCACCAGGTTTATCCTTGTTGCCCTCCACTTGGTAGTGGCAGTGTTCATATACTGTATAGATTTGTGTTTTTCTTCATCTAGGCTTGATTCAGGTATTGATTCATTCAAATACTCTTTTGTAGAATTATCCCCACATCTGTTGGATCTTTCAGTGGCTGTTTCCCTTGCCTCAGGTGAACTTCTTTGGAAAGACATTACTGTTTTGGACGATTGTTACTGTCCTGAATTTCTGTGTCCCTAAATGGACGTAAAAGATAATGTGATTTTTGTACCACTGTTAAATCTTTTTCTTGAACTCCCCTGAGGTACATAGGTCCTGTCCCTTGGTGTTATAGGCTCATGTACTGCTTGCTCACAATAACAGTGTCCCAATCTCTTGTGTGGGGCAGTATAACCTGACTTTTTTAATTTCCTGAATTTCTTGTCCGTCAATGATCTTCAACAAAAAAACATTTTGGTAAGTGACTTGACTAAATAAAATCTTCCTTCAATTGTATCTCATATGCATCCCTTGTAAAGCAGGTATTTTACTAAAAGATAAATTCACTTTAATAACATGTTACACGTTACACCTGTATTCAGGTTGTAACATGTCACTAAAGCACCTGCCTGCACCATCACCCCCCCCCCCCCCCCACCCCCGACCTTTGATCCCTAATTGTGGCAGAAAGCAGATAATCCTCTCCTCACACACGCTGTTACAATTTAGAAACAGCACAGTGCTCTGGTGTCCAGCCGTGTCATCCATTCACAGCGATCTGTGGATGAATGAACTACAACGTCCGTTTGCCACCGCGGCAGATGACTTGTAGTTCTCAGTGAACTATGAGGGTGCTGGTGAGCACTCTCATAGTTCATTCATTCTTCCTGGACTTTAGTAACTGTCTACCCGTATGGAAGGTACAGGGAGACAGCTGTATTGAAAGTCTGCAGGAGCCTGACATTGCCCCTGCAATGCTCTGCAGTTCCTAAGAAGAAAAAAAATTATAGATGAATATTTTTTTTTAACTGCAAGAAAATGTTTTTTTTTTAAAGTGAATTTATCCAATAAAGGCCATAGATCTACTTTAAAGTAGAACTAGTAAAATGCTATTTAATTCATTTTTAATTGTTCAGTTATTCTTTATTAATTTCAAGTAACACAGGTTACAATGAAAAAGAAACATCCAAACAGATAAAAAACAACATACAATGTCTAAGCATATGTCCAGTAATTTACAAATCAGTACGACAACATGTCATATTTAATTCATTTTTAATATTCAAAGCAAACTCACCCATCCATCCATGTCCCCATGTTTTATTTTGCTGGGAAATCACTTTGAAAGACCTCCACCCCCCCCCCCTAGTATTTCTGGCTGTGGCCATCTTGAGTAATGACAGATGATTCATGTAGCATTTGCTGCCTGGAATCCATCTGCCCTTAGCTCAGGCATGCAGGCAGGGGGTGTACTTAGCTATAAAACCACTCCTTCCCTCTTGGGATGAAGGACCTCATTTGCCTAGGAAGTAACTTAAAAAATAAAAAAAATGTTTAAAACAAATAAATATATTATACTTTCCTATCAGCATAGCAATATAAGGATTAAAAATAGTCAATGTTGACGGAGAGGGTGAAGTTCTGCTTTAAGCTTTTAGGATGTCTAGTGAAACTGTATGAGGCAAGTAGGAAAGCGTGACTCCATAATATAACTGCTATACTGTATGTTTGATTTACAAAAACTAGAGTGCATAATGTGGTGCAGCTCTGCATAAAAACCAATCAGCTTCCAGGTTTTATTGTCGAAGTTTAATTAAAAAAGCCGAAGTTAGAAGCAGAATGGCTATCATGTATAGCTGCACCAGGTTTTGCTTTCTCCAATTTTAGTAAATCAACCCCATTGTGTCCCATTGATGTTATTGTAGAACAATCAAAACTATCAAAGCAGACCTATATAGAATATTGTTATTTCAGGAAACAAAGCTAGTTTTATCAAATGACAGGTAGTATAGTACTTCAGCCATGCCTGGATTTTCTAAATTGTTTAATTATGTTCTATCAAGCCTCCCATTCCTGACCCTAATAACATGCGAGATTTTGTGAGTTACCCTACATCTGGAAATGAGAGGTTGCACTGCACTATGAAGAGGACAGAGGATGATCCAGTGGTTGGAGGACCGTGCTATACTCTTTACTTGGAATACCTGGGTGGACTGGTGCCTGTTCTCAAAGGGCGAAGAATAAGTAAACTGCGTCCAGAGTTTGTAATTATGGATCCTAAAACAGATGGAAAAGCAGGTATTTTTTTTTCCCTTCCATGGAATAATTTGTGAAATAATTTTAAACACTTTATACCCATTTGCATTTTGAAGTATAATTAGACTACAAGATTCATTTTCTTGTTGGTCGAAAGGGGAAACAAAAATATTTTTGGTGAGCAGGAAAGTGTTAATAAACCCAGTAAAGGTAACAGTAAAGGTCTGTATCTGCAGTAAAGCACTCAGTGTGGAACCTAAGGACTTAATCCTCTGCATTGTGTAAAAAAGATGTTTGATCCTGTCTTCTCTGATCCTCCCCTTTTTCTACTGTCTCCAATTCATCTGCTGATAGAACAGAGCCTTGGGGGCAAGATGCCTATGCTCAATTTGGTATTGCTAGAAAGTTTTTTTTTTTTTCTTGGGATAGTGCATGTGATCAGCACAGGGTCAATCAGCACTGTCCAAACAGTGGGTCAGGGGTCCTGCAGCCTCACAGGGGAGAATGAAAACTCCTCCTACATGCTTTAACCAGTGCTATGCTGGACACTGATAGAAGTCACAAGACTGCTCTAACTGCTGATGAGAAAGGGTAGTTAGCAGTTTTATATTCACTAAAATAAAATAGTAATTAAAATAATTGTATTTCTATGTTCTCTGTACTGTGGGAGACCAGATATAGTAAATTTAGGGACATGTGTTTTAGTAACACTTTAATTTTGCTTATAATAACATTTAACTAAAATCACTTTTTGACACTGTTTATACATTATTAAAATGCTTGCTTGTGTTCATGGTAAAATTTCTAATGGTGTTTGGTGGTGCTTTCTCTAATGGCTATATGTGTGTATCAGAATGCAGAATTAGACCTTGGATAGAAGTTTACTGTATATTACTGTTACAGGCGAGCTCCATCTTTCTGCGCATATTTGATGTTGCACTCATATTTAGGGTGTAAAATGATGCATGCTCCGCATCTGCAGCTCACCGCGGTGCGGTGCGAACCTCTGGCCACCAATGATAAATCTGTTTATTATAAGACAAAAAATGCTTAGGCCTACAGAGATTATATCAGAAAGATGGGGCACCAATCTGTTTATGGGACCTATCAAAATAATGCTGTAGGGCCCAGTCATCTGTATTTAAGCACCTATATGTACTTTTCCATGCTGTATCCACTTTGTGTAGGTTTTGCTGTTTATACACAAGCATAGCAGTTCAGGAAGCATTTCAGGAATTCCCTATTATTCTGGTGTTTTTCATATTGCCATGCTCTACTCATTCATTCTTTTACTATTTTGTTTCTAGATGAAATCTATGGCAATGGATTGATCTCCGCAGTTATCGACAGCTGTAATTGCTCAGATTCCAGTGATATCGAACTTAGTGATGACTGGGCAGCTAAGAAATCTCCGAAGGTTACAAGAGCCAGTAAATCTCCCAAACTCCCCAGGTTCTTATATGCTTTTTTTTTTTATGTGTTTTATATGTGTGTGTCTATGTATATGTGTATATACACACCTACCGGACATTTTATTAGGTACACCTCGCCAGTGCCAAGAAACTATCTATCCCCCACCATAACACCACCACCAGTCTGAACCATTGATACAAGGCAGGATGGATCCAATTTTTTTATGTTTGTTTCTCCAAATTCTGACCCTACAATCTGAATGCTGCAGTTGAAATCAAGACTCATCAGACCAAGCAACGTTTTTACAATATTTTATTGTCTAATTTTGGTGAACCTGCGTGAATTGTAGCCTCCGTTTCCCGTTCTTAGCTCACAGGAGTGGCACCCAGTGTGGTATTCTGCAGCTGTAACCCATCTGCTTCAAGGTTCGACATGTTGTGCGTTCAGAGAAGGTATTCTGCATACCTTGGTTGTAACGAGTGGTTATATGAGTTACTGTTGCCTTTCTATCATCTCAAACCAGTCTGCCCATTCTCCTCTGACATCAATAAGACATTTTCCTCCACACGACTGCTGATCACTGGATATTTTCTCTTTTTTGGACCATTCTCTGTAAACCGTAGAGATGGTTGTGCATGAAAATCCCAGTAGATCAGCAGTTTTTAAAATACTTAGACCAGCTCGTCCGGCACCAATAACCATGCCACGTTCAAAGTCACTTAATTCCCTTTCTTCCCCATTCTGATGTTCAGTTTGAACCTTAGCAAGTTGTCTCCACCACGTCTAGATGCCTAAATGCAGTAAGTTTCTGCCGTTTATATATTATATATATATATATATATATATATATATATATATGCTGCATTAGTTTTCCTTTTTTCATGCTTTTTGCTTTTATTTTCACCTGGTAATCCTGCAAATAATTTCCTTCCTCCTATTTTTGGAACCATGGCAGTCATCCACACTAGAATTTTTTGTTTTTTCTTCAAATTCTTTATTTATGAAAGCTGAACAGCAAGTGACAGTCATCACAAACAAACAAGTGTAGCAGATAAGTATATGCCAAAATGTATCCATAAACAATCCATCCAGAGAATGAGATCGGAGAATAGCAAATTAAACACATCTAAGCTCAAGGGACCCAAAAGAGGAAATAGGGACCCATGATAGAAGTACTCTCATATCCAAATACTATAAAAGGAGACACTGCCATACATCTTGTTTTTCGTTTTTGTGGTGTTTTTTTTCTTTGGGATAATAATAAAGCAGAACAGGCCCAGGAAGTATAAAGTCAGAAATAGAAAGGAAACATAGATCTAGAAAAGGGGGGGGGATAAAAAAAGAGGAGTGGGAGGTGGGTACAAGAAAGGGAAGATGCTGAGTGAAGGGATGACTACTCTGCTCCTGTCTTGAGGAGAGACTTCCCTTCTTTAGAGTTGATAAACATATTCCAAAGTGTCCAGCTACTAGAACACAATTCATGTTAATATTGGTGCGACAGCACCAGGTCTTCCATGTGGTTCAGTTCCACTACTCTGTACCCAAAGCCCGACCTGTGGGCTTTCTCTCCAACATAGGGAGATGCAAGATTTGTCTGCATTGAATAGGTGATGTAAGACAGGTTCAGAACCTTAATGGTATTATCTCTTCTTTACCGGAACGGGATGAACCTGACCTGATCTTGGCGGATGATGGAAGGCAGGTGTCGAAGGCGTGTGGCGACAATTTTAGTCAATAATTTTAGATCGACGTTTAAAAGAGAGATCGGCCTATAACTTACACATGATGAGGGGTCTTTCTCTTCCTTGGGAAGCACAATTATATAAGCAACCACGTGTCCCTAGAGAAAGAGGCTGAATCACCTAAGGCGTTAAACAATTTGATCATATGCAGACTGAGGTGTGGGAGCAAAGTTTTATAGTATTGCACAGTTAGGCCGTCGGGAGATGGGGACTTCCAATTTTTGCTGTATTGGTAAGGGAAGCCTAGGCATGCCTGAGGCCTGTAGGTAATCTTGCAAGTCCTTGGAGGGAGGTGGAGAACCAAGGTTGTATTAAGTGGAATAAAATTCCTCAAAGACCTTGGCAATTTGTGCAGAAGTATGAGTCAATCTCACATACCATACCGCCAAGACTACAGGATCTTGCAATAGGCTTTCATTCAGTTTCCAAGCAGAGTGTCTGAGACTCGAATTCCCAGGAAAGGAGTACCGGAGTAAAACCAGAGCAAGGTCGGACCATGTAATGTTTCTGATGGCCGCCATCGTTATTCACTGTATTTGCCTATGGGGGACTAGAAAATAGTCATTTTGTGAGTATAGCTTGTGCGACAAAGAATAATATGTATAGTCCCATTTCCCGGAGTATACAAGCTGTCAGATATCCATCAGCTGTGCTCTATGCATAGCTTGTGATATACGTTTACGGATGTTGGGAGAGATTGAGGAGGTAAATGTGGAAGTTTCCACATTAGGCATTAGAGGGACATTAAAGTCACCAACCATAATGATATGTCCCCCAGAGAACTCCATAAGTCGGGCAAGCACTCCACTGAGAAAGAGGTCCTGCTGGGTGTTAAGAGCATAGATTGTAGCTAATGTTATTAGGGTGTCACCAATCTTACCTTTCAACGGGCGTTGTCATCCGCCAGTATATCCTTCAGTGCCCAGGGATGTGCCTGGAAATAAAGATCGACACTCCCTTCGATTTTGCCACCTTATTGGTAGCATGGTAGACAAAGGGATAGTACCTATTCTTCAGAAAGGGAAGTCTGTCGTCTCGAAAGTGGGTCTCCTGCACAAACGCCACATCGAAACATAGCCATTTAAAGTTGAGAGAAGCGTTTGTCTTTTCTCAGGAACAATAAGTCCCTTTACATTAAGAGAAATGATTCACAAAGAGTCCACCACTACAGCTGGGAGAGAATTGAGGGAAAAAAATGGGGGGGAGGGAAGGCGAGAGGGGGAGAGAAGAGGAAGAGTGGGTAAATAAGGGGTGACCAGAAATGGGGCAACAATAAGAAAAGAAGGTTAAAGGGCAGATCATACTACGTCACAACCTCACTTATTTACTAGGGAGGATAGCCCTATAGCGCTCACTGGCGCAGCAAAATGCTGCTGAAGCGCAGGCCTAGTGGAGAGCGAGGTTGGAAACAGCCAAGGGGCGAGCTCCCATTCTCCTCCCCTGGGCAAGAAAAGTACTGAGCAGCCTGTATAGCTTATCACCTATTAAGAAAACATCAATATAACAATTAAAGAAGAAGATAAACTTTGACATATAAAGACCACTATAATGTCACAGTCAAAAATCGGACACATGAAAAAGAACACCTAAATCATGGGGGTAGATCCTTAACCCCGCATGTCCAAGGTCCCAGATGTGGATACAAGTCCTGGGCCAGGTGGACCTCGACCCCCTCTGTGCACTCAGGCACATAGAGACAGACCTCCCGAGCAAAACAATTAACCGGTCATGGGATACGCTTATCCACTTGAGCCTGCCAACCAAGGGGTCCCACAGTTTTCATAGGTTAGGTCGCCAGCCTCTGTTGCCGGTGGGGAGGCTCATCCCATGACCAGATTTTAACCCCTATAGGCAAAGAGCCACAATCCGCTCCCCACCACAGAGTCCTCCCATACCAACAATGAGGCAGAGGGATGTATTCCGGGCGGAGGGCGGATGCAGGGCCCAGCCCTGCATAGCGGGCAAGCACGTACCTGAGCAGGGTGTGAGCAATTCACTACAACAGTAGTAGCAGTAAACATTAGGGTACAAAGCCCCTGGTGTAAATGTGAAACAGGAATATGCTGTATGGGGCCCTCACGAAGGAGAGAGGTGAGAAAAAATTAAGGTACAAAGCCCTTCCATATAAAAAGAAAAAACACAGAGCAGTATAGGGTGAACTGAAAACATTGAGTATATGTAGGCATGACAGTCCTGAGGCAAGTCTACAGTGGTCATGAGCCATCCGAGAACGGAGGAGGAAGGACCCAGAAGGTGAATAGATGTCCTTGCTGATAAGCAACGGGAAAAATTAAGGCACCAAGACCCGTCCAGGTGAAGTAGCACAGTGCAGATGTTCAGGTAAACGGGTCTCTTCATCTCAAAGACCATCAATACTCAGTGATAAGTGGCTGAGGTATGGGGAGACCATGTCATAGATAGGCAGCAGGTTTAAGACTCACGTGGACTTTCAGTGGATGGAGAGGGAGATCTGCATTGTCGTCTTGGTGGTCGAGGATGCAAGCCAGGGGCAAAGGCCAGAGGGTGAGGGCCGACCCATTTGTCACGGCAAGAGCTGTAGCCAGTTTGGGACCTCGAGCAGTTCCATTTCCATGAACGGAAAATAGTGCAGGCAGGTCGCCAGCAGGAATCCCCAGTGGTAGGTCAGCTCGAGTTGAAGAGTTTTATCCGGGGGGGCGCACATCTCTATAGAGTAGCCCAGGAGACATCGGGCAAAATTTTGACCGAATCCCCATCGAAGTCCACCTTACCTTGTGACCAGGCCTTGCGGAGTATGGACTCCTCCTGGTTGTAATGGTGCAGGCAACATATGACATCCCGCAGGCGATTCGGATTAGTATGCTTTGAGCCCAGCGCCCTATGTATTCGGTCTATCTTCAGGTCCACCGGGGAGGCAGAGTCCACCACTGTATGAAATATTGCCATAACAGCATCCTGCAGTTGTTTGGGGCCCGTGGCCTCCAGGAGACCTCAGCGCTGCAAGTTGTTGTGACGGCTCCGGTCTTCCAGCTCTTCCAAATGTAGCTGGAGAGCAATGGCCACCACATCATGGGACTCTTGTGCTTGCTCCAGCACAGAGATCCTGTATTCCAGGGCTGTAACGGAATTCTCACCCACAGAGAGATAGGCAGCTAGGGACTGTACTTCAGAGTGCACTAGTTTAAGTTCTTTGTGGTGCAATTGCTCCAGCCGGAGGATAAGGGCTTCAATGTCGGCCTTAGGTGTCCATTTATGAACCAGCGGTAAATGATCGTTGCTCAGTTCTCCGGAATTCTCGGACAACACAGTTCTCCTGTGAATGCCTTTTATGAAGCGGTATAGATCAGTTCTCCAAACGAAGGGAGAACGATCTACAAACGCTGGAAAATGGCTGCTTTTACTATAATCTCACGAGATTACAGTAAAAGATCAGTTTATTAAGCAGAGGTAAATTATCGCAGCTTAGTTTGCGGTTCCTCCGATTCTCCAGCTCTAGGCTTGGAGAATTTGGAGGGAGAACACAGATCTCCAGTGAAGGGCTGAACATGTTCTCCGCTGATCTTCTGAGTGTCATAAACTGTGAATGACCAGAGAGTAGCTGCGATCCTCTGAATCGCAGCTATTCTCTGTGTCATAAATGGACACCTTAGTCTGTAATTCTTGAAGGAGCGCCCGTAGGTCATCTCCCCCTTGCAAGAACGGAGCAGAAGCAAAAACTGGTGGAGAGCTAGGCCGGTCGATGATAAAGGCCTTTGGGAGGTCAGAATATGTGTCCGAGGCACACAGTATCATTGGGATCGCTGGAGAGGTACTTTGTGGAGGTGATGCAAATGGTGGTTCACGAGGCCCCGTCATGTTGGCATACAGGTTATGGTGCCTGGTCTCCAGGAAGAAATGGTGGATTCTGTCCTCGAACCGGCCCCCCAAGAAGTTTCTGGTGTTGTCTCTCTTTTCTTCTTTTTTCTTATTCTGACTTTCTTCTTGGCTGAGAGCATGGCAGGCAGATAAGGTGGTGATCAGCAGCAAAAAGCCCGGGAAAGTGAGCTCAGGAGCCATGCGTCTTCACTCGGCCATGGCCAGACCATGCCTCCATGCACACTAGAATTTATACATCAGCCTTTGTTCATCTCCATTACATATGGTGTGATGGTATTGGTAGTATATGCAAGAAACATAAGATTTTGGGGGGGTTTTTACATCTGTATTTGCTAAAACTGTTCATAGCTTAAAAATGAAAACTAATACAGCCATCACATCTATTGACTGGTAAGCTGCATTATTATTAGATTTTTGTTCTTGGGTTTAGCTATGCTCTAAATCCACTATTATTTACTGTTCTGAACAATAAAGCTTGAAAACTTCCAAGGGGATGAATACTTTTTATAAGATCTGCAGGTGCAGACCATGCATAGAGTACAACTTATTTCATGGACCAGATAGCTGTAGTCAAGAACAGATCTTAATTTTTTTAGCCACAAATTTCTAACTATTACATCTGGAGTTTCAAACGACCACTGTCAACTTTCCTTGTTTAAATATTCTTACCACATAGTTTGTGTTTATTGGTTTGTAATAGGGATTTTGGCACATTGTGGCATGCTTCTGTAACATGCTAGTATAATGCCAGATAGTTTTACAATATTTTAGATTGTTCATAAGACTGAAAAAGTTTCCCAAGTAGGAACGATATTGCACAGCACAAACGATGGCACCAAGGGGTTTGGGAGCTACAGTATATGAATGAATACAATTAAAACACTGAAAGAGCTGTTTCTTGCTGCATTGTATATGACAACTTTAGGAATGTGTTTGGTTAATACTTTCTGCTGAACTCCTTGGCTAATCTTAATAGATATGAACTACTTAAAAGTATGTGATAGGTGTATACTGATCGAAAGTCAAGAGCATCATTTTGGACCATCATTGTCCTGGCTTGATCCCACCCTACTCAAACGCTTCTGTTTTCTGCAGAATTAACATAGAAGCAAGAAAATCTCCAAAGTTATCCCGAGCCACTCAAGAGATTACCAGGTCTCCTCGATTACCTATACGGAAACCTTCAATTGGGTCACCAAGCCTAACTCGCAGAGAGTTTCCTCTGGACGACATTACTCAGGTGAGACCTAACTGTCTTTCATTACCTGCATTTAGAAGGCCAATACAGTCACACTCAGTTTCAGTAAGGGATAAAGCTGTAGATAAAATTATGATTAAAATTAAATTGTTAGAGGCAAACCTCAAATTTCTTTTTAACTTTTGTTCTTTTCTAAGACTGAAATTCTTATTAGACATGTTATTCTTAAAATTTTGCAGCACTTATCATTCTTTAGTGCCACTAAAGGAAAGGCATGCTAGCCAAGATCATTTTCATTCATCACAGAATCCCCCTCTTTGCATAGTTTCATAGTTAGTCTGGCCGAATAAAGACAAAAGTCCATCCAATTCAACCATTAAAAAAAAAAAAAAAAAAAGTTATAATCCTATACCCACAGTTGATCCAGAGGAAGGCAAAAAAACACAGCAAATCATAATCTAATTTGCTCTTTCAGGGGAAAATTTTTTTTTCCTAATCTCCCGAGAGGCAATCGGATATTCCTTGAATCAACTTTACCTATAAATGTTAGTATCTACCGTATTTTCCGGCGTATAAGACGACTGGGCGTATAAGACGACCCCCTACTTTTCCTGTTAAAATATAGGGTTTGAGCTATACTCGCCGTATATAAGACTACCCCTCTTCCAACGCACACCAAATAAAAATGAAAAAACAGCAGATTTGATTTCAATATGGTATGCTATTTCAGTATGGTATTCCAATGATGGGGTGCTATTCTTCCCACTGACACCAATGATGGGGCACGATTCCTCGCTCTGACACCAATGATGAGGCAATACTCCTCCCACTGACACCAATGATGGGGCACTATTTCATCCACTGACACCAATGATGGGGCACTATTTCATCCACTGACACCAATGATGGGGCACTATTCCTCCCACTGACTAATGATGGGGCACTATTCCTCCCACTGACACCAATGATGGTGCCCCATCATTAGTGTCAGTGTGTGAGGAATAGTGTCCCATCATTAGTGTCAGTGGGAGGAATAGTGTCCCATCATTGGTGTCAGTGGGAAGAATCGTGCCCCGTCATTGGTGTCAGTGGGAGGAATAGTGCCCCATTAGTGTCAGTGGGAGGAATAGTGCTCCATCATTGGTATCAGTGGGAGGAATAGCACCCCATCATTGGTGTCAGTGGGAGGAATAGTGCTCCATCATTGGTGTCAGTGGGAGGAATAGTGCTCCATCATTGGTGTCAGTGGGAGGAATAGTGCTCCATCATTGGTGTCAGTGGGAGGAATAGTGCCCCATCATTGGTGTCAGTGGGAGGAATAGCGCCCCATCATTGGTGTCAGTGGAAGGAATAGTGCCCCAGCATTGGTATTAGTGGCAGGAATTGCGCCCCATCATTAGTGTCAGTGGGAGGAATAGTGCCCCATCATTGGTATCAGTGGAAGGGATAGTGCCCCAGCATTGGTATCAGTGGGGAGAATAGTGCCCCATCGTTGGTGTCAGTGGGGAGGAGGAATAGTGCCTCATTGTTGGTGTCAGTGTGGAGGAGGAATAGTGCCCCATCGTTAGTGTCAGTGGGGGGAGAGCAGCGGCTGCTCCTTCTTTCAGATTTTCGTGGGGCCGCTCGGCTCCGCCTCCTGGCCGGTGATTGGTCGCCTGTGTGCCTTTCCAGTGCTGGCGCCCAATCACTGGTGAGGAGGCGGAGTCGAGCGGCCGAACTGAAAGAAGGAGCAGCTGCGCTTCCTGGACCGGATCGTCGTGGGACCGGGACTGGAGCCAGGTAAGGTACAGCAGCCCCTCTGCCCACCCCTGTACTTAGTGTCCGTTGAAGGAGGAGGGGGGGGGGGGCGGCGCCGCGCCGCCCCTCGAAAAAGTGCCGCCCTGACACCGGCTCGCTGTATACCGGCGTATAAGACGACCCCCGACTTTTCAGAAGTTTTTCTTGTGTTGAAAAGTCGTCTTATACGCCAGAAAATACAGTAGTTATATTCTGTGTGTCCAAGAAAGAATCCAGGCCTTTTTTAAAGCAATCCACTGACCTGGCAAGAACCAACACTTGAGGCAGATAGTTAATAATTGTAATTACTACATCAAACAAGTAATTAGAAACATTGAATGCACTTGCTACATTTAAAATGTCTATATTTATTTTGCAGCAAAACTATCTTGCTCAGGTCACATCCAACATATGGGGAACCAAGTTTAAAATTGTAGGATTGGCAGCCTTCTTACCAGCTAATCTTGGGGCAGGTGAGTTCTTATACAACTTTATACAGTTTTAAAGTTCTTTGCAGGAAACAAATGTAAGAAATGTAAAAACAGCTGCTAAATGTTAGAAGATGTTTTGCGGAGCTAAGCAATGTTTTAGATTTTTACATGAGCAGTTGTTAAAGTGACCCAGTGCTTTACCCATGGAGAACAAATACCTATACCCCTTATTACATATATTTGCATTCCTTGGTAGTACTTAGTATTTCCCATGTGACAGTGCTGGTGCTTAGCAGTTTGGTTACTCAGGCAGTGCACAGTCATGGGAGCAGGGGAAATAGTCCTTAGCCCTGAGTGAGCTTCAACTGGAATAAACTCAAGAGAGTTGCACAGGGCTCTTCAATCCCAGCCCTAAAGGTTGACAAAAAAATTATGCTGTGGGATGGTCTTTAAATTAAACCAGTTGCTTAAAGCCCCTTTTACATTGATCCGCTGCACTTTCCCCGCAGCTGGGATGCTGCGCAGTGTACCTGCTGTTTGCGTGTGATTTACCCGCGCTTTGCCACAGACTTTTATTAGTAAAGTCCTGAACTTTTGGTGCGCTATCAGAAAACACACCAAAACCGCCTGATCTAATGGAAGTCTATGGGAAAGTTCAGGAAACCCACACAAAAATTGTGGGTATACTGCACTGCACCCATGCTGATTGGTGTGAAAGGCGCTTAACAGTCGCACTGTAATGTGGGTACCCCCATCGCACACTCTACTAAGGGCTCTAGGGGCTGCATACAGCACTCCTGATGACGGTGCCGACACTTTCAGCCTGGAATCCTATTGTCATCCGCTTCTAAGGTCTATTCCCTGCTTCTCTATTGAAGGTGGCTGGTTCTTTCTTCTGTTGTTTTGTTTGTTTTTTTTTTTTCTCTGAGGTTTTTACCACAGTCATGCAAAACTTTATGGCCCAAATCACCCAGTTATTTTTTGACTATGACCTCAAAAGCCACAAGCACACTCCCATGGCTTTTCCCACAGATTTTGTTTGTAATTTACCTGTGGCCTTGGTGGCGTCTGAGTGGTCAGCCACTGAAACTCTTCTAAATTAAGACCACTTTGGTATTTATTGATGTGGTGCACACCATTGTAAAACTAGATGATCAACCAGTTACTTCTACCAGTGCTCTTTGTCTACACAGTTGGGAAAACTGTGACAAGCTATTTAAGGCTGTTTCCCAAGCACTTATTAGCCTTGTACCTGTGGGAGAGAATTTTGTACAAAATAAGTCTTCCAATGCTGCTGATGCAGCAGTATTCCACCTTAACAAAGCCAGTACCATACCAGTGGAGGATATACCTGTCTTTAAGGGCAAAAACAATAAGTGGTTTTAAGCCCTATTTATAAATCTTTCTCTGCACAGGTCTCCTGTCAGTACACATTAGTTATAGTGGTGGAATGTAGAAGGATGTCTCTTTGGATCTACTCTTATCAAGGATGCTACCGATGGTTACAACACCCATCTTCTTCAGTGGAAGACGCCTAAAGAACAGACTGAAAAGCCTTATCTGTTAAGAAATTTCCTTTACATTTATCCACTCCCGCACTGTATGTCGTGACCCCCAAGCTTGACTCCCAGTTCAGTTTCTAGATCTGGTGCTCAAATTCTGCCAAATCCTTTAGACACATCTTTTTCAGCTTGAAAGGGGCACCCCAACTTTCCAAAGTTCTTTAACCTTTGAGGGCACTTGGTTAACTTGTATCGCAGCCACTTACGTGTACAAGGTAACATCCCAGGGCTTTCCGGTGCATTGCTTTTGAGCTTCTACACTCTGAATTTGTGGTCCTGTCCTGCGACCTCTTGTCTGCACTTCCGGTGTTCACCAAGTTGCTGGCTCCAGCATTTTCCCTACTGTGCTCTCGAAGCATCCCCATTGTGGGATAAGTAAACGACTTGTTGAGGGAACAATTGCCATAGGCTCTATCTGACAATGTGGCTTGCACTGTCTAGATGTTACAGATGTTTGGATCCTCAACCTTCAAATATCAGTACTGGAATCCACTCATTATTTCTACTATCTGGGTCTAGTCTAAGACACAGTTCAGACCAGAGTGTTTCCGTCATGGGAGAATCTTCAGATTCTTCTGATTCTCCACTCTATATGAGAGTCTTGAGACTGATGGTAGCCTCCTTCAAGTCTCTCCCATTTGCCCAGTATCTCTGTAGACCTCTACGATGCAACAAACTGTCATAATAGGACTAGTCAACATTCGTTTGGCATGGAGTTCCCGGTAGTCCTTTGCCTTTTAGCTCAGGAATTCGGCTCTTGAATCAGAGAAATCATTATTCCTATCTTCTGTAGATTCTGTAAGATTCTCACAATGAGTGGCAGCCTGCGAGACTGGAGAAAAATCTTGGAAATCCTGTTGGTGCAGGAAAAGTATTCATTAAATGAGTTACTCCTACTTATTAATATTTTTTGAAATATTTTTGAAAATATTGCTTATGACGGGCCCTGTTTAACAAAAGAGAGGACAGCTGTTCTTCCTTAGATAGCCATTGTACCTGATTTACTTAGAATGGGTCAGTAACATATTTAGCTTTTGCCACTAAGGTCTCTGATTTAGCTAGTTCCAGCTTTTTCCTAAAAGATTTGATTACAGTAATTTGTTTAATGATAAGTCTTAAGGGTGTCCCACACAACATCATACAGTTGTGCTCAAAGGTTTGCATACCCTGGCAGAAATTGTGAAATTTTGGCATTGATATTGAAAATATGGCTGATCATGCCAAAAAATGCTCTTTTATTGAAGGATGATGATCATTTGAAGCCATTTATTATCAAATAGTTGTTTGGCTCCTTTTTAAATCATAATGATAACAGAATCACCCAAATGGCCATGATCAAAAGTTTACATACCCTGGAATGTTTGGCCTTGGTACAGACACACAAGTTGACACACACGGGTTAAAATGCCAATTAGAGGTTAATGTCCCACATCTGTGGCTTTTTAAATTGCAATTAGTGTCAGTGTATAAATAGCCATTGAGTTTGTTAGTTCTTACGTGGAAGCACTGACTAGACTAGATACTGAGCCATGGGGATCAGAAAAGAACTGTCAAAAGTCCTGCGTAACTAGGTAATGGAACTTTATAAAGATGGAAAAGGACACAAAAAGATTCAAGGCTTTGGACATCTTTTTGTGTCCTTTAACATCTTTATAAAGTTCCATTACCTTGTGTATGGGTAAAACATATATAACAAAAGAAACAAACTGTTGCAGCACTTCAGAACTATACAGAGGTGGGATATACACTACAGCAAGTACCATTTCAAAATCCAATAAAGTACAATGTAGAAAAACGTATCTACCCCATGCGTCTACCAAGACCCACCTATAGGAGAATGCCACCCCTCGACAGATCAAACTAGAAACTCCCCGTATGAAGAATATGTAGAATGGTAGGCAATTTGAATTCGACCATGGAGCAAATGTACATTTTCCTTGGTGGTGTGAGTCTCCTGCAGGCAGATTGCAGAAGGGCGGAAAGAGTTTACATAGTCAAACATGGATTGTCTTTTAAGAGTATCATTCATACCCCTAACATTCCACGAAAGTAGTTTAAGTATACTATTAACCACATTTAAAAAAAACAAAAAACAAATAAAACACTTAGTTTTATTAATGAAAGCTAACTATAATAACAACCCTGTATAGGACTCTATCTGTATGTACTGCACACATATATATGTGTGTGTGTGTGTGTATGTGGGGAGGGGGAGTAAAAAAAAATAAATAGAGAGGGAGAGGAGAGGAGGGGAGGGGGAGGTGGGGAACGGAAAAGGGGGAAACGGGGCATAACATATCTTCACAGGAAAGATAGAAGACTAGGGAATTCCAGAAACTAGCCAACTGCTGGGATAGATACTGGCTAGCCAGGCTAATTGGAGTGCTAACACCATATTCTCTAATTTGTATTGTAATTATAAAAAAACTGGAACAAGGATTATCTAATTTTCATCCAAAAATATCAAGTTTCTAGTTTACACACGCCATCAAATAGCAGCCAAAATCCGCCTAGTAAAAAAAAGAGAAAACAGACAAGAAAAGGACATCTATAACACAAGCATAATCCTTATCCCTTATAGTGCTGATCAAGCCACTCTTGGGCGGCCTTCTGAGTCAAAAAAAAAAAAAGAAAAAAGGCCTGTTCATGTACTCCTAGATTGTGAGCTCCAAGGAGCAGGGCCCTCGAACCCCTCGTGTATCGCATTGTATTGTTACTGTACTGTCTCGTGTACTATCTCCCATTGTAATGTACAGCGCTTAGCAAACTGTTGGCGCTATATAAATACTGTATAATAATAATGTACTGTTCTGAGCCAGGCTGGATAAGTCATGGAGTATGTTAACTTTAATGGTTGCATTCTCTTTTTCATCTTCTCGAAACTTGCTATATGCTTGTGTTTCAGACAAGAAGTCAGGAAAACACATAATTTTTGAACCATTATAATGAATCTCATTCATCATTCTAGGCCAGCGGAAAATACCCTCTTTATCACAATAATTTAACAACCCGATAAAAGATCTAGGAGGGTTGCCCTGTGCCTTTGGATTGGTCAAAACCCTGTGTGCACACTCAACAGCAAAGAGAGGAGATAAATTCTATTGCCAAAAGTGTCTAATAGCCAGTGCTCAGCAAATTTTATATTGGGTCCGCCCCCTCCACCTTTTCTGGAAGACCAACCACCTGAATATTATTACGTTGCAGTTTTCAAGATCCTCCACCTTTTGACTTTTTAGCATTAACTTTATGCATAACCCTTTTCAACTCGAATAAATGTAGTGTCCTCACTTGCTGTCCTAACTTGCCAAGTAAGTGCCAGAAAAAAGGCAGAGCATCGCTGAACTGCAGCCAGTAGGCTCTGAAGCCTTTCCATCCACACTTAAATCAGTGATTATATTTCATCCCATTCCGTGTGTGTTCGAATTTTGCTGAACAGAGTTACCACCAATATCTTGCTGCATAAGGCTGCACAGCTTTTGT